ATAAAATCCATATACACAGAATTTTTTATGCAGCTAAATATGTATAAAAGGACCTAAGACAGACCTGCATGGCATTGTGAAGCAAGCAGTCAATGAAAGCATGGGTTCAGGGTTTACGTCATACATTTCCAAAGATGCTGCCTTGTTGTTCAATAGTTGGTGTTTATAGTTTGCACCACAAGTCATTGTGGAAATGTTAAATTGTATTTGGAATTTATAACAGCACAAAGTGTGTCGACATACATTCACATACAAGGACAAAAAAAAGTACATCATACTTTTAAAATAGCTTTAAGTTCTTTAAGAATTAACTTCCCTTTCTTTTTCTGGAAAATTAACTCATCCTGATCACCTTCTCTCTTACCATTCCCGCTCAGATGCCGTTATAATTGTGGGTCTGTAGAAACGAGGCTGTCTTCTCCTGCGGTGCGGCGCGCTCTTCACTGTGTCTGGGTGGTTTTCCAGTTGCGCAGACTGCAAATGTCAGCATGATCTTTTCAATGTATCCTTTTTCTTTGCTGCCCACTGGCTGTCAGTTCTCTTCTCTCAGTGCTAACAACTTAATGACCCTGCTCTGGATCTCCTCCTTGCCTCCCACCACTCCCTTGTTCAAGCCTTCATTATTATTTTTTCACTAATTTTTCATGGGATTTTTATTTCCATTAACTCAAATCTAATTCAGTAAACACTGTGTGAATGCCCTCTATATCTGCTTAGCTTTTGCCTTTAGCTTCTCTGCCATTTTATGCTTCCAGGAGCCAAATTTGGAGCCCTGGCAGTGTAGTGGTTACACATTGGGCTGCAATCCGCATGGTTAGCAGTTCGAAACTACCAACAGCTCTGCGGAAGGAAGACTGGGCTTTCTACTCCTGTAACAATTACAGTCTCAGAAACCCACAGGGGGTTGCTATGCATCAGTATTGATGGCAGTGAGTTTGGGTTTTCCTCTTTTCTTTTTTTTTTGAGTAGTCTTATTCAAAAGCCTTGGTAGCATAGCGGGCTGTTACAGGCAAGATCAGCCGTTTGAAACCACCAGCTGCTCTGTGGGAGAAAGATGAGCGTCTCTGCCTTGGAAACTCGGAGGCACTTCTGTTCTGTCCTGAAGGAGCACTCACTCTGACTTGGAATTGACTCCATATTCAGTAGTGATAGAGGGAAGAGACTGAGTGAATTCAATTCCTGCCCCATCTGTGCATGTTCTCGTACTAAAATGTTGTCCCCGTGTTTCAGAATCTTTCTAGTGTTATAAGAGAAGCTAGGAATTCATATCTGTTCTAGATACTTCCCGAACAAAAAGGAAATTCACGTTGCATTTTAATATAGGTAATAAAGAATCAGATGATTCATACATTAAACAGATCTGTTTTAGGGATCTCCACTTCTTAATCTGTCCTAAGAGCTCTCCAGTACTTGACTCTGTCGTCTACCATGTACTGACAGCTGACTGAATGTTTTAGATACTTTGTCACTTTGGTGTTACTTGGTTATTCCCTTAGCATTGAAGATCCCTTCTTGTTGACCTCATTCCTCACTTAATTCATCCTTTCCCAGTCTTAAAGTCCTCATTTCTCTGACAATGTTATACTTCTGTCTTGATGTTATTGTTTTGATTGAATGGAATCTTTTTCATTAAACTGGAACCTCCTTGAGGACAGCAACTTAAACTGTGTACATAGGATAAAATGCTGAGTGCATCTATCTAAACCAAAAAACAAACTTACTGCCTCGAGTTGATTCCAACCCATAATGGCCCTATAGGACAGAGTAGAACTGTCCCTGTGGGTTTCCGAGACTGTAGAAAACCTAATTTTTCTCCAGTGGAGCACCTAGTGTTTTCAATTGCTGGCCTTTCTGTAGCAGCCCAACTCATAACGCCACTACACTGCCAGACACTTAATGACTGAATGAATGATTGATTAACTCAACGAGGGCAGATAGGAACAAAGCTGAGTATTTTAGAGATGTGATAGTTTTCTAATTGGGCTTCATATCTGTTGTCCTCTTTAATCTGTTCCATATGTCTTTGCTGGTCCAAGCTTCCTGGAGCATATCTCTGTACTTGCAAATTCTTTTGTTCACATAATACCTGTGGATCACCGTTGCCTATCAAATAATGTCTGTCATTCTCAAGATCTTCCATGATTGAGCTCCATTGTCCATTTTAGTTGATTTCCTACTCTTTGTTATTTTGCTCGTTCCAGCTCCTTCTGATATCTTTTTGATCAGCCTATGCTGTGATTTTGCTCACTTGATCTTTCTGATACAACCATTCCTCCATCTCAGGCTGTTGAAGCCCTGATAGCCTTGAAAGTTCAGCTTGGAGCTACTTCCTGCATTGAGGCATTTCATAACTCTTAAAATGGAAGAAAGAGTGCCTTCCTATCTGATCCTGGCATGTGTGGCTCTCTATTTGAACATTAACATTGATCTCATTTTACTATATGCATATGCCTTTTACATCTCCTGTTGACTGGTGACACATCAGTACTTTGGATCTAATAGGTAAAGAACTCACTGCCACTGAGTCAATTCTGACTCATAGCGACCCTATAGGACAGAGTAGAACTGCCCCTTTGGGTTTCTGAGACTGCAATTCTTTTTTTTTTTGTTTTGTTTATAAATCATTTTATTAGGGTCTCATACAACTCTTACCACAATCCATACATATATCAATTGTGGAAAGCACATTTGTACATTCATTGCCCTCATCATTCTCAAAACATCTGCCCTCCACCTAAGCCCCTGGCATCAACCCTCATTGTCCCCTCCCTCTCTGCTCCCCCCTCCCTCATGAACCCTTGATAATTTATAAATTATTATTTTGTCATATCTTGCACTGTTCTCCCTTCACCCACTTTTCTGTTGTCCATCCCCCAGGGAGGAGGTTATATGTAGATCCTTGTAGTCGGTTTCCCCTTTCCAACCCACCCTCCCTCCACCCTCACAGTATTGCCACTCACCCCACTGGTCCTAAAGGGATCATCTGCCCTGGATTTCTTGGGCTTCAGTTCCTATCTGTACCAGTGTACATCCTCAGGTCTAGTCAGATTTGTAAGGTGGAACTGGGATCATGAGAGTAGGGGGAGGAAGCATCTAAGAACTAGAGGAAAGTTGTCTGTTTTATCTTTGCTACAATAATGGATAGTTTTGTGGGCTACAATTTACTCTGTAAGTCACCAGTTTTTAACTGGACCTTTGAGCAAAGGTAAATTTTAGTGTAGTGAAATTCTAAGTTCATTAACAACTATTGATCAGAAAGAAGGAACAATACTTAGCAAATATGGCCTTGGTAATAGAAAAGAAACCACTTTAAAGGGCAACTTGAGAAGACAAAGTAAAGCAATGTGATGAAAAGATTTATCTTCAAACTCATTAATTTGATCTTTCATTGGTTCAGTTCTATTGTTTTGCTTCTTCAAAGTGTTGTCTAATTCTAATAGTTGAGAATTATTGATCTTCTGGATTTCTAGTTGGTATTTTTGTACAATATAAGCCATATATACTCGAGTATAAGCTGACACGACTGTCAGCTGAGTTTTACCACAAAATTTTACCACAAAAACTGCATTAAAAATCTGCTGAAAAACTTGGCTTATACATGAATATATACAGTAACTTTTTTGTTTTAACTCATCCTTTCTTTTGCCAGCTAGCTTTTGCTTTGCCTTTTTTTTTTTTTAACATTTTATTAGGGGCTCATACAACTGTTATCCCAATCCATACACACATCAATTGTGTAAAGCGTATTTGTACATCATTTCTCAAAACATTTTCTCTCCATTTAAACCCCCGACATTAGGTCCTCATTTTTCCCCTCCCTCCCCGCTCCCCCTTCCCACATGAGCCCTTGATAGTTTATAAATTGGTATTTTGTCATATCTTGCCCTGTCCAACGTCTCCCTTCATCCACTTTTCGGTTGTCTGTCCCCCAGGGAGGAGGTCACACACAGTTCCATGTAATCGGTTCCCAGAGACTGCAATTCTATACAGAAGTAGAAGACTCTTCTTCCGAGGACAGCTGGTATTTTCAAACTGCTGACCTTGTGGTTAGCAGCCCAGTGTATATATAATCTATGCTCCCAGGGCTCTTAGTTTTATTTTTTTTGGGTTTTTTTTTTACAATGAAAAAGAGGGGTAATGTTGACATTTTGTCAATTGCGATAATCCAATTGTGGAACATCTGATTTGTCTCTGGGAATGGGAGTATTGTTTCTAGTAAAAAAAAAGGTAATGTATGTTGTCCATTTGGTCTGTATTTTTCCCCCTTTATGTATTTTGAATAACATCTCATTGCCTTCTGAACCTGCCAATCAATTTTAGCACAGCAATCAAGAGAATGGATCCATGTTTTCAAAGCAACCTCTATCCCTGTTTCAATTTAGAAAAAGCTCTGTCCCTTTCACTGTGTGAAATTTTTTTGATGGCTTCTCTTTCCTCCTCCTCTGCATTTCTTTCCTGTTCAGCATTTTTGCTTTTTCAAAACCCATTAAGTCCTGCTCTGTCCATTCCCCTTCTGTGTGGTAACACCACATTGGTGTTATCAAGCTTTGAATTCAGTATTCTTACCATATCGACAGTTTCTTCTGTCATATTATCTGGAACATGTTCATGCAACTCAGCAATATTTTCCATATCTCCTGCTTGCATTTTCCTATATCTTTGTCCCAGGAAAATAAAAAAATCCAAATGTAAGAATATCCTATACAACATTGTTTTTTAACAGAAAATCGTAAAAGTGAACATCTGCCAGTGAACATCTTAGAATTATGACATCAGTAAATTTCATATTACAATGTATATAGTTTATGTTACTAATGATAAGATGTATAAAATGGGAAGGTGATGTGTGTTTTGTCATACTTGAGTACATTTAAATCTAGGGCTGCTTGTATAATAAGGGTGCTAAAGGTTAATAATAGTGAAAGGAAAAATCATGAACTTCTTAAATTTATTTTTTTAACTTTAGGTATTTAAAAAAATGTTCTTTTCCTCTTTTTTAGGAATCAAGGAAGAACTGAGGTAAGATTATTTTTGAAAACCTTTTTTTTTTTTTTTTTTAACATTTTATTAGG